GCAGTCTCCAGCTGGATGAAGAGGATGAAGAGGTGTCCTTCACCACCAGTGCGGCTGAAGAGAGGACTTCCAGGGGGACCTCCAGGTATTTCACCTAGGTGCCTCACGCTGGCTGGCGGGAGCAGAGATGGCCGGCACTGACCCGGGACCGCAGAAGGTGACACGCTTGCAGGACTGCTTACTGCTTGCAAAACATTGTGATGGGCTTGTGTTGTGTGAGTGCTTTTAGATATAGAGGATGTAGTAACGGACAATTTCAGAAGTGCTCAAACCCTGCACCATACTTGGAAGCTGGTGCATCTCTGCCACGACATGCCGGGGTCCCCCTCCAGCCAGAGGGGCCAGAGCTCTCCTGCAAAGACCTTGCATCCTCCCAGCCAGGCGGCTGCTGGCCATGCTTGGAGCTCAGCTGCTGGAGTCTTCATGGAGGGGGGAGGGAGGAAAAGAAAAGAGACATTTTAAGGAAGAGTTTAAACATCTGTTTTTCACAGCTGCAGGGAAGCACACTGATGGGAAGGGTGTTTGAAGCCCATTTGGAGAGGGGCAGGATGTTCAGGGGAAGCTGCTCTGGCAGCTGAACCCCATGGACATGGCCAATGCCCCAGCACAGAGCCCATCGCCTCCATCCTGCCCCTCCGATGCTGCGGGGAGTGCCCGGCCCTTGAGGACCAGGTTGCATGTGCAGGATGCTCCTTGTGATGCTTGGAGCCGTGGAGGAAGCAAACTGCTCTGTCTTCTCCCTGGCCAGTTTAGAGCATTATGCTTTCCCAAGTAACATCCCAGCAGTGCTTGTAAATCATTTAGCAGCATCCCACAGTGAGCTCTGGGAAATGGGTTAATGAATGATATTGTATAGCTCCCCTTTTCTTGGGTCCATTTTCTGGCAGCACCTCCACAGCTCTGGCACCTCAGTGCCCTGCTTAAACACGGGGGGAGCAAGGCATGTAAAGGGTGGAACCTTTGCTCCCCCAAATCAGGCCTCAGTTAAACAGCATGGGGAGAAAGATCTCAGGAGGGGATAGGAAAGAAACAGGCAGCTCCTTGGCATTAGGAAGGCTGCTGTAACCATGGAGCTTTGAAACTTTCCCGTTTGCTGCCTGAGTGCAATGTTATTTTTACCAGGGCCGTTTCTATCTATAAAAGAGAAGGAGATGGGACTGCTCACCATCCATGGGGCAGCAGGAGGGGAATTCCAAATTTATCCATTGATCCCTGGAAAGGAAAAGGTATAAAGATACTTCTTGGAAGTATTATTATTACAAAAACTTATTACCCTAAAACTACTCAAAAAATGGAGAATGGTGACACCTGTCTAAGATAAGACACCCTAAGATTTTAGGGGAGGATCTTGTTACTTTTCTTTAAGAACAACCCCATAAGACGCTGTAGGATGTGAGTGTAAGGAGAGTGACAACGCAAATAAATCCACAGTTGAGAAACGACTGCAGCCGGCCAGAATGGATTTCAGAAACAAGGAAGCTGGGGCAGAGGCAGAAGATAGGCTCAAAGGTAAAAAGAACTGGGTTTATGGATACTGCTCACCCTGCGCGTCACTGTCCTTTGTTTTAGAAGCTGGACAATAAAAATTAGTTGTTCACACCTGAGTTTTGGGTTCCTCCTTCTGCCCTGTCAAATCTGCATCCCCACCCCACCTTCCCCTGTGCCTCCCAGGCAGCCCCCAGTGCTCCGCGGAGCTGCCGGGCTGCTTGCCCCCTCCTGCCGCTGATCGCTGGCTCCCTCTGCGCCTTCAGTCTCAGCGACCGGGGAGACTCGACGAGATCCCTGAATGCTGCTGAAAACAACTACATTCTTGGTTGGTTGCCCAAGAAATGTGTTAGATCAACAAGAGAGCACACTGTAAGGTTTGCTTTTGCTCCTGGTTACCCTGGGCTGAAGAAACTGTGAACTACAGGGACCCCATGTGCTCTGGCACATGTTCTATTAAAAAAAAAGGGATAAACTTTCCGGTTTTAGAGAGTGGTTTCTTCCCTTTCCCAAAGCTCTGCACCTTAGAAAGAGTTTCAAATACAGCCTGCGCACACAGCCCTCGGAGAACATCCCTTGAAGGGCTGTACCTTACGCACACAGGCAAACCCATCCCTGTCAGCTCCTGCAAGCAGGAGCACAGACACAGCTCAGCTTTACCCTGAGCATGTCCCAGAGCAGCCACACAGTCCCACCCAGAGGGATCAGCGTACAGCCACGCCGCCCCAACCTCCGGGAGCTGCCAGCTCTGGCATTTGGGACTACGCTGGGAAAACAGCATTGAGAGGGAGAATCAAGGACTTAGGAACTATTTTTGGATTTTTCCATGGACTAGAGAGCAACTTGGGCACAGCGTGTGCACTGTGCCTCAGCACATCCTACACAACGGTCAACAATAGCAGAGGAACAAAGCAGCTTGTGAGTAAGTGACAGAAATGAACGTCTTCAAGCTAAATTCATTGCGTAAACTAGCTTTCTTGGGACTGACTAAAATAAAGGAACAATCCCAGTAAGCAGCGGCTCACATGTCAAGGAACAATTGAAATAACCCTTGAGTAATTCCTTCCCCATGGTCCCCACTCAGCCCTATTCACCCCAAAGAGGTAAGAGCATCTAAGTGATTGTGTTTCACTAGGGAAGAAAACAAGGATGGAGAGAGGACGCAGAATGGTTTGGTCTGCTGACAGTGACAGCCAGCCAGCAGTACCTGCAAAGGGTAAGCTTTTACAGCCCTTACACAAGCAAGGATTAGTAAAGAGGGAGGAGGCAGAGCAGCATTACAGTGTCAAAACATTAAGCTACTCAAGGTATTCTAACTGAAGTAACTGGGGTTCATACAAAATCTACCACTTACAGATTAAGCTAATCTTGAAATTCAGCTGCACAACGTTCAGCAACTTTTTAGGCACAAGTGTGTATGTTACTATATAAAAAGCAGGAAAATGTTCACAGTACACAAAGAACTTCAGTTTGGAGAAGCACCAAGACAGGTTTCAGTCTATTTACCTCATCGCTGTATTAAGTGCTAACTCAGTTATTGGAAAAATGTGAAAGTAAGGCAAGCCAACATACATACCACCAAAACTTCACAAAGGAAAATAATTTTATTCCAGTGTTAAGTCATAGAACAGTGTGATAAAAATCAGACCTTTAACAATTGCTAAACTTTGTGCAAACACATTAAGAACCTATGCAACTTTCCTATTCAGCGATAGACGGTCGATTGAATGCCAGAACAGGTGTTCACGATACTACGTGCTTACCGTACAGAAGCATACTAGAGTCAGAGACCACGGGTTTTAAGAATGGTTACATTGAAAAAGGATATACATTTCTCTATTCTGCAGTTCAGACTACTTTGATAAGAATACTTCAATACCAATTCTTCTCATTCTACAGCGGAAAGCCTTGCAAACCAACCAAGCAAGATGGCTCCTGCATGAATATTTTGATGTATCTTTCCATTAGCTATCTGTCAGCAACAGAATACCGCTGATTAAATTACACAGTTCATCAATAACTAACACGTGGTGGGGAAAAAGACAACTGTTCTCTGGAAACCAGTAATACAAACACCCATTCGGTGGAGTTCGATTATAGTCTTAGGGTGCACAGAGACTGTAGGCGCAGAAGTGCCATATGCAGTACAATTAAAAACAACTTCTTGAATGGACTTGAACGTGGCTCATCATGTGGATGAGTTTTTCCCCCACACTGTTGTATGAGGTAGGTATACATCCCACCCATTCCACAGGAAAAGAAGCACCATAGTTCAGCAACTTTAGTTACAGTCATATCACAAATAGGACAGGTTCCAATTTCCCAAACAATTCACTAACCCCACCTATTATAGAGTTGCATAGATCAAAGACCCTGTGTCAACAAAATTCGGAGGAATTCCCATCACCTCTCCCCTTGGTCTCCCACATGAAAAGAACACCTTAAGGGAAGTGACATGGAAGTAAAAACATACTTTTAATTCTGAGAAATTTGCATGGAGCTCTTTAAAATGAGATTTGGGTCAAGACTGCTGAAGTGAAAGCCGAGGTAATTGTGGCACAGGCCTTTTTGTACCTTCACTCCACAATGCCGAGTTCACAATGAGGTCAGTGTTCTGACATCTCTACCACGTTGCGACGGGCTGTGCATGTTCGTCTGAGCACACAGATCCTGAACACTCCTCTTTAGGAACGGAATCAAACTGAACCCTGGGGCTGCTCCATTTGTCTACAGCTCTCCCCGTGGCGTAGCAGCTCGTAGGTGTCCTCCGGACAAGAACAGCATGGGGGGGACCAAAACCTTTCCAAAGCAACCGTGCAACTCTGTGCAAGGAACACCTTTCTTGAACTACAATACAAGTTCGTGCAGAGGTGTGGATATACCTCTTACATCCACTAAAATCCAGAATAAAACGCACAACAGAACAAGCTCATGAAAGTTTACAGAACTTAAATATTTATTTTTTTAAACCATTTAAAACCCCCCAAAACATTGAAATAAGCTTCATCTATAAACAGATTTACAAGACTAACAACTACAGAAGCTAGAGGAGCACTACAATTTGTTTCTGTGATGCAGTTATTTTGTAAAGCTTCAGATCAACTGTATTTACAACTTTTGCTGCTTTTACATTTATAAAAATATTTATTTAATCCATAACATTATTGTTTTCAAAAACTATTTCCAGACTTTTTTCTCAGATATAAATTCTAATCGAATTTCAGTTATATAGCAGATGAAAGTTTTAAACAGAAACATTTTTTTAAAATTAAAACAAGGAGTTAAAAGTAATTTTTTTTTACAGTGTAGGCACCATTGAAAATAATTGTCCTTGGCATATCTAACCACCATCTCTCACAAGTGTCCTTTATATAAAAACGATGTAATGGCAACATTTGACTAAAAATGCAGTATTTACTTGCACACCATTACTTTTTCAATATTTGGCAGATAAATTTCAGATTCTTTAAAATGACTTTTGTGCAAAAACAAAATGTGCAGGTCTGAACCATAAAATAAAACACACCCAGCCTTTATCAAAAATAAATTTACACCAACAGTTCCACAGCTAAGTACTGAAAAAACAACCCCAGTTCAAAACTTCAGCATAATATACATACTGGGTTGAAAAAGGGAAAAAAAACAGAAGAGAAGAAATTACCCATCTAGCAGTACCATAAATATATAACTGAAAGCAACTTTATAGTCTTACCTACTTTTTATGAAAAAAAAAAAAAAAAAAATCACTCCGTACTGCACAGTACTACCTTTTTGTGAAAGAATATCTATAACTCAGTTATTTGCATATTAACTGGTAAATACATATTTAAAATACACTTTCAGAAAATTATAAACAAATTATGTTGATGTACTGTGTTTTAACGTATTTAAGAACAAAAATGTGTATAAATATCTTACAGGAGAAACAACACCACCACACAGAATGCTGGTGTTACACTTATACCTGCTTGTGAGGTATGTATCACGCGACGCTCGGCTTCTCTGGCTCCCTTCCACCCAGGCATGTGTACTCAGAGGAAAAAATTAAATTAAGTTAAATTGGACTTCAGGTTTTGTCCATTATTGCCAAAAGCCCCACCCTCAACTGTATTGCTTTAAATTTTCCTACCATGATGATGTAAGATTGAATTACTACTTCAAAACCTGTTCTAAAAGGTAATACATGTACTGTACATCAGGATATACCTGTTGCTACATATCACCTGCAAACTATTGACATATTGCTCTCAAATATATTTAATCATAGAGCTGCCTAAAATACTGTACCAATTTAGAATTATAATAGATACTGTTGCAGGTTTATTTTTCAGGGCACAATAACTATATGCTGGTTGAAGCAGGTGCTACAGCAATACCCTTGCCACTACATTACATGTTTTGAATACGCTTGTGAAAAAGCTATTTTCTCTGAAGCTTGTTAGTGATTTACAAAAGTTTAACTCATGAATACAAAAGACCTGTACATCCCCATGTACAGGAACAAAACAGCATCAAAACATACTGTACTTGCACTTTCTATTAACTAAAGTAATGGTTATTTCTAAAAGCAAAACTGCACCTCAACATTTATTAGATTAAACAGGTGAAACTACAATATTAAAAGTTGTTCTTTACAAAATAATTTCCTGAAAATATAAAACCATGTGCACTGCCACAAAATAGTTGAGTAGGTTCTTTCAAATCCTCAATCACCATCAATATGTTGCAAAGATCCAAAAGGCACAAGGAGCTCATGAGCTAAGCACTGCCAAGCTTGAAGTAGTTTTGGTGGGTTTCACTGGGTCCATACGAAACAGCAGTCAATTACGTGAAGTTTCTTAGGATGAGTCATTAACAGAAAATCTACAGATAAAAAAGGCAAGTAAGAATTTTGTTAATTATATTGTTGTAGCTTGGCAAACAGCACATAACTATTTTTGCATCACTAAACTAGTACATGCCTTCATCTCAACAGTTCATAGGGGAAAACCACCAGAAATTACGTTCTCAAGAAAAAATGCCCTAAAAAGCTAAGTTACGAGATTCTCCTGCTTGCCTTACTGGCTATAAATATGTTTACGACGAAAACTGCATGCTAAGTAAAAGGAAGCAAGGTATAACAACTACAATAAAATTACAACACTAGAAAACCAAACAGATATAGCAATTGTTACTATTAGTTTTAGTCTCAAACAGAAGTGTTACATACAACTACCAAAGCTAAAAATTTAAAGCACTGGACATAGCAGATCTTTCACTGCAGATCTTTCACTTATCATTAAACTACTCAAGTTTACCCAACATATCAAGTTCAGTGTCAACTAATCTTTCCTGTGCATAAGTACTTAATTTAAATTTTTTCTTTTAAAAAAAAAGTTCTTTTTTTTTTAAGCAATCCATAAAAAAAATACCATAACTTACTTCTGAAATTTCTCCATAAGTTTCTTCACCATCTTATCTGTGATCCCTGGACACGTTGCTTCTGCCATATTGATGCTTTTCTCAAGTTCCTCAATTGCTTTCTTTCTGCTAGCATTATTTGTGTCCTGCTGTTTGAGCTGAGTAGCAAACCAAAACAGGTAAAACTTAACAAAAGTTATCAGACACTTGGGTAACACTTTCAAAGAAGTTTTTTAAGGCAAGACTTACCTCAGCAAATACAGGGGTGATTATCATAGTTAAACAACTCAGGGTTTTAACAAGATCCTGATCCTGAAGGTTAACAAAAATGGATTACATTAGCATATTCCTATACAACGTATACGCTGCATTTAACACAGCACATGTGATTTTGAAAGTTCAGTTAAATTCAACAAAGAGCTTGAAATACATTACGAAAAAAGTGAAGGCACATTATACATCAAGAAACATTATGTGATGTGTAAAGAGATGCCTGATGACACACCTGAAAATGTCATGTATCATCAGAAAAATAGTTGATTTTTTCGTCTGATATTATAAGAGTCTTTAAAATTCACACCTCCATGAGCAGGTACTCATCTATTAGTATGCGGTATCTTTTCCATTTAAGGATGACATAGGCATAGGAAGTATCACTAAACAAGCATCATCTCTTGAACTACAAAAAGATAGTTCTTATGAAAAGTGAATAATTACAAAGTTCTATCACTAGTTTCCTTAAATTGGCTTCAAAACCAGCACTTAGAAAGAAGAACTCTTCAGACTGTACATACCGTCCCATTCTGTAGCTTCTTTGCATCTGGCTTCTTTCGAACTGTGGTAAAGCTCCACTCAGGATGAGAGTTATTTTCTTTGTTACTGGTCTCCCTGAGGAAAAAGGATACGGTGTACATAATACTAGCACAACATAATGCTAAGCAAGCACAGGTAATCCAAATACATAATAAATCTATATGGATTAGTTCCATATTCCTTAAAATAAGAAGAAAAAACATGTATTGAAACATTAATTAAACTTTAAAAAACCAACTTCAGAAGCTGAATAAACTGAAACATGATCAAAGCAAACAGAAGACGTTATCTACCCATAAAGCTTACCTTCTTCCATGGCATCCCATTTAAAACAGTTATCTGATATCCAGAAAAGCAAGAGACTTACAGAATGTATGTTGTTCCACAGGCATTGTGCCAACTTCTCCATACACCTCAACCTTGCTCTGCAATATTTCTAATTGTGATTCATTGTTTTTGGTACAACCACTAGCCTCAGACTAGGAAATACACAGCACTTAAAGAGAACTGAAATTAAGTTCAGAGAGAGAAAGTTTAAAGAGATAATGAGCGCATAGCTTGACTTATGCATCAGTCTTTAGGTTCATATAAGGGGTTTTCTTGAAAGAAGCCAATGAAAAACATATGGAACAAGGACAGATGTACAGAAGAGGAGTTAATTACACAAAGAAACAGCGACAAACCTACTTTAGTAACATTACTTTAAAAAAAAAAAAAGCAGCCCAAAAGAGACTAAACTGAAAATAAACTTACGAATCTGAACCATCCGAATCACTTTCATCACTACTATGTCCCTCTGCTTTCCATCTCTTAAACCTATCAATCAGTTCTGTCAGATATGAAGTCTTCTTGGCATTTTTCATAATGAATTTGTGCTTCAGAAGTTCTTTTGCAGTAGGGCGCTGTAAGAAACACTTAAATATTTAATGTTATGCTAACATTTCATTATTTTAAATGTTAATAGGGGGAGATTTAGTAAGACAACTGACTTCTAGAGCCAACTCATATAGTATCAGGAAATTAGTGAAACAGGATGTCAAGAAAAGCCAGTAATCCACATTTACAAGCACTCTAAAAATACAATCAAGTTGCACACAGACTATACTGCTTATCCTTCTATGCTAGAAGGTACACACCCAGGAAAATGACTAATCAAAATTCTCCAATGCAACATTTCCTTGTAAGCAGAATTCAGACAGACAACAAAAGTTCTGCTGGAGAAAAAGATTTAAGATTCTCTCCTCTGTTAAAGCTTCTCTTCTGACATTATCCTAAGTTTGAGTGCATTTTAGGAAGCTGCCTCTGTCACCATTTCTTTCAGCATTCTCCTTTCAGCATTTTAAACAAAAGAGACTAGGATGGAGACACAAAACACACCACCATTAACAGTGGAAAGTATAGTCTCTAAAATTATTTCAGTCAATTATGATGCACTACAGCAGAAAAATGCTTTGCAAGCATGAGAGTGAAAAACGAAATCAAAACATCTGTATACACACACACACACACACACACACATCTACTCACAAATGTTGGGTCCTTATTCAGACATGCATCAATGAATTCTTTAAAAGGTTTACTGAATTCTCCTAATAAAGTTGGAGGATTGTTTTTTGGAATGAGAAACAGAACTCTCATCGGATGCATATCAGAGTTGGGAGGCTCCCCTTTGGCTAGTTCAATAGCAGTGATTCCCAATGACCAGATGTCAGCCTGAGAAAGGGAAAAGTTACTTTTAGTACAAAATTAAGGGCTATCGCGACTACGTATTTAATAACTGAAATCTTCACATATACTGCCTCTATATAGTAAAATTAATTTTGGTCTAAGTAGATAATGCACAAAGATTCCTTTCTAATACTTGAAGGCTATAATTCCCAGAGACCTGGCTGACTTAATCAGTTTTAATAACTTTGACAAACATCTACAACATCACTTTTGTTGCACACTTTGTCACTGATGTAACACTGTCAGCAAATGTGCACCTAAATACACATGCTTTTGGAAAAAGTTTTAGAAATGTTAATCTTCCTTTGAGTTTTTTTCTATATAATGAACTAAAAACTGCCACAAATGTCCCATGTCTAATTCAGTTTTTGTTTAAGATAGCAAAACTGCATGCTGATGTTACTTTTGAACTGTAGATGCACTGAGGTATCCAACCTTGCTTGACAGCTCACTCTAAAGGAACAAGGGCAGATCGTTAAATCTAATTCAGCAGGTGATCACTATCCTAACAGGCTGCTTGATGAATTTAGCTAGAAAATTATCAACAACTACTTAGACCTGAAACAGCAAGTTCACAGTGTAATTTTCTGAAGAATAATGAAATAGTACTTATTTTAGCTAAAGGTAAGCATTAGAAACAAATTCTGTCTTTGTATCAAAATATGTTATGAACTCTAACATTCTTTTCTGATTTAGAGATTTTTCCCAAGTGACATATACAAGTGAGCTACAATAGCTATTAAGGTCTCTAAAGGTGTTTCTCATTAAAAAGTGGCTGGCAACGGATGACTACACTTGGCACAGAAGTCATAAACCAAAGTGGCCCATAGAGTAAACAAGGGTTACAATTTGCATCTCTCCAATTTCTTTTCTTATTCACAAGATCTAAAATATCTGTATTTAATAATGAAGAATTAAACTAGCTCATTGTTTATTACTGAAATATCATAACCAACAATTGTATATTGGAGCAAAATATTTTTAAAGAAGAGATGGGGCTTGTAAATCTCTGCCACTACAAAAACGTATGAATTTCTATTTTATTTTCTGTCATTTTAAAGTAAGGAATGAAAGAAAAAAAGGTTACAATTCAGTCCAGATGCCAAAATATTCATTAGTATTAGCCTAGAAATTGAAGTGTATCTTGTCCAAAACTCTTCATCTGTCCTACCAAAGGCTTGCATCTTCAGTGCTTTCCCACCAGACTTTTGGCATAGAAAGAAAAGGGGGAGGGCACTGCTCTTGCAACATATTGACGAGATACGGAAGGCAAAAGATTAGGTTGCTGGAAGAATGTAAATGAAGGGTGGTACAGTTGATTTATACACAGGACAAGCAGAAGTGCTGTCGACTGGACAACGTGCATTTTTAAAGCGAGGTAGAGTGCTTTTCCAAAATGCCCTAGGGTGCACATTACAGTTGCACCACTGAAACCCTAAACATGAGAACTACAACTGCATGCACGTGCTCCTTCCTATCAGGAAGGACCCTTGTGATATGTACACCAATTCCTTCAAGTCTGAATGATCCAGGGAAAGTCTCCTAATGTGTGAGTATCTTCAGGACATCTCATATTCAATAGTCTTTTCTTTACGCGCACAAGTACAGTTACATGTTTGCTATTTGAGAAAAAACAGTATGAAAGTATCACTTTGCATATACCAAGATTTTAAGATTTCTTGCTCCTGTTTAGGGTTGCATGTACAGAGTGTAGAATGTCCAGTGCCAGCACTGAAGTACACTGCCATTTCACTAACCACGTGCTCTAGGTCATCTTGTGGGCATACACATGGGAGAAGAGGGAACTGTTCCCTCCTGATCGTCATTTCAAGCAGCAGTTCCCAACCCTCAGAAAAACATGGAGGAGGTTTGCTTTTCTACTGCTAGTTCACATAGGGAAACTCTCCCTTGCAATTAGTCACCATCAATAGTTCCCATGAAATAGAAATGTACAAGGTACCATAATGCTACCACAGCAACCCATCCTGTAGTTCAAGTTACTTTTTTACTTCAAGATCAGTCACCTGTGCTAAAATCTTCAGCATTATACAGGTCCTCAGAAATACCGTTAAAGAAATGACATCCAGAGTTGTTTATAAAAATCTGAGAAGAGAGTAAAATTTCAGCCATCATCTTGGCCTTAAATAAGCTGGTAAGTTCTGGTGGCATTCTAATTTGCAAGAGCTTTATTACTGTTTGAATTAAATGTGAAACATTGAATTGAAATTAAAAACAAGCCAACCAACCAACCCTGAAAGCATCCAGGGAGCTTCTCTGAAAGAATCTTAACATGAAAGTATCAATTTACTTGCTGAGTTTACATGCATCTTGCATGTGAGTACATGACATGCAACTACTGTAAAAAACCAATTTAATGGCACATTTAATTTTATTATTTGAAACCGTGATTTGCAATCTTTTTTTCCTCTCCATACTGATCGAGCTAAAAAACACAAAACCCAAATTAATTTCTGTTGGATCTGCAGATACAAAGCAAAGGTATTCTACTCTCATACTTACTTTTGAATCATACGCTGACTGCTGAATAACTTCAGGGGCCATCCAAAATGGAGTTCCAACAAAGGTATTCCTCTTAATTTGCGTGTCAGTCAGCTGCCCAGCAACTCCAAAATCAGCAAGCTTAACATCGCCTTGTTCTGATAACAAGACATTGGCAGCTGCCAAGGGGAAATAGCATAATATCTAAATTAGATTACTGCTCTTACAATTTTTAAAGGCTTTAACTAAGTAACATCTGAAACTTTATGCACCTTTTATATCCCTGTGAATTTTCTTCTCTGAGTGTAGGTAGTCAAGACCTTTCAAGATTTCCTTTAGCATTGTAGCAATCTGGAACTCATCAAATGGGCCAGCACGCAGCTTTAGAGAAAAGACACATTAAAATAAATTTAGTCTTGTATCTAATTTTTGCCTTGTTATTAAGTCTTACCTTGAAATATTTTTTTTAAAGAACCAACAGAATTCATAAAATATTCAATGAAGTATGACAATGTTCTATCAGAAATACGTGCCATTGAAAATACTCTTATTTTTCCAACATAGACAGTATGCACTCCTCTCAGCAGGCAATGCACATGAAAAGTTAGCATTAACTTTCCACAAAGTTATAGCTTCCTATAGACAGCAAACACAGGAGATTGAATTTTGCATTTTAGATTAAGCGAACTAAGAAACTCTGTTTATTTTAAAATAAATTAGTCTACTGACTGTGGTTTTTGAATTTAATGACGCATTTTTCTCTTGTTGCAGCATTTTTGATTCCATGCTTGCTTTTGCATCAAGAACATAATGCGCTACTATAAAGCTGCTAGTATGGAATAAGTATAAACTTTGCACATTAGAAAGCTATGTAAATAAAACAGAAGGAACTAAGGTTGGTGATTCTGCTGTAAAAAAAAACAACCACTCAACAACACAGCACTGAAACAGAGAACGTCATGAAATTAGGGTATGGCAAATGAGGCAAAACTTAAAGGTTTTCTCCTTCGGGTTCAGTGGCTTCAGCTGTCACTAACAGAAGCTATTTCACTGTTTCTGACATGCCACAGAAGACTATCAACTACTCAAGTGTTGAAGTGTCTCACAGCCCCTTTCCCAAAAAGATTAAGTTCCAGAGCTACAAAACTACTACGTGCTACACATAATTACTATGCTTTTGCATTCCTGTAGCTGAGTTGATGTGATGCAATTTCATAAAGAAGTTTCGATAGATTTATGAAGTTAAGCACATACTTCAACTCTTGCAGACAGGACCACTGTTAGCAAATATGTAATTAACAACATTCTGTAATACTGAAGACATTATATTTTCCCTTCAGAATCACATAAACTAAGACTGAGTTACATTATCTTACAGGAAAGGGTGGGTCTAAGCTTCTGAAAGTATGGGGAAACCACATCCACACACAGTGGACTGTGCTCTTGTACTCTCTAAGCTACATCCTTCATGAATGCTTACACTATCTTAAGTAAAAGGCACTTTCATGCTTAACTAAAAATACCTGAAAATGGAAAACCCAACATCTTTTAACCAGTTAAAATTAACTGACCTCTGTGGGTACACACTTCATTCATTCCTGAGACCCAATCCCAAAGGAAACTTTTTTTTTTTTTGTTCAAGTGTAATGAATATTCTACTGGGGGGAGGGGACAGACAGATGACCCAAAACCTCAAAACCCACCACATATGGCAAGAACAGTGCTTCTCCTCATAACAAAAAAAAATTGCCTTACATTTAACTGAGAACAAATGGATGTTTCCTAATGCTTAAAGAGAAACAGTAAAAACAAACAAACAAATCAACATGAATTCAATACTACAGAAATACCATTCAAATTCACACATTTTGGAGCATTACAATGTAGCAGTGATGTAGTATCAGCTGCCTCCATGGACTAGATTTTATAAAGAGATATGAAAGCACAATGACATAAGGTTCACTGGTACTTATAACGCAAAAAAATCATATACGTACAAGATCCAAAGCTGACCCTCCACCCAAGTATTCCATTATTATCCATAGTTTTGTGCCCTGTAAAGGAAGGCATGATTTGTTAGAAGTCCAAGGCTGACATAAAAAACAAATTTAAGAAAATTCACTAGACTACCAGCATACTGTAAGAGGAATGCAAATACAGAGTCCCATTAGTCACCAACTTACTACTGCTTGTGGAATGATCACACAGCTCCCGTGCAAGATGTCTAAATATCAATTAAAGTTTGACTTCTTTACTTAAAAAAGCAACACCCACCACTAACTGGTATCTAAAATGATGCCACCTAAAGGAATGGAACTTAAGAGAAAAAAGTGATTTGGTGGTAGTTTAAGTTTAAACTAAGTGTTTTAATGTAAGATTGTAGTTCTCAAAAAAAAGACTGTCTTTGCATTACAATTATTAATTCCAGCCATTTGTGATACAGAAGCAGTACAATTTTAATAGGAAGCTTTCTTGTAACATCACCACACCTCTCATCTGAGGAAAATACTCAGAACTTAAAATTACTTTTGAAAGAAAGTAAAGATGAACACACTTCAAAGACAACAGAAATTTAAAGCCTAATGGAGGCAGCTGCTAGGTGCCTCTTCCCCTACGTAGTAACTCTGCAAGCGTGTATCTAGCATGTCCACAAGCTCCAACTTCAGTTGTGAGATGCAGCAAAAAGTGAGAACCGATAGCCCTTGACTATGCTTGTACCTAAGGATTTACATCCTACCACAAAACATGCCTGCTACCAGAGGGGCAGCTCCAATTTTGAAATACAAAGCAGCGCTATGACCACCAGCCAGGAGAAATTGCACTGCCAGACCTGGAACCCTACAAAGACGTTCAGGTTTACAAAGTTTTCAGATCAGAGGTTCAAAATCAGCCATTAAAAGGTCAAAGATAAGAGCAATATAGTTCAATAAAAAGTATGACTTAAGGCACCTATCTTAGGAATTACTTTTTAAAAGAAAAAATTTCTACTAATATTGCAATGTTCATGTAATCCTTCACTATATGCAATTTGAATCTCAACCCCTATGAATATGTGAGTTTCTGCACTTTCTTTGTGGAGAGGTCTCAACTACTAGAATACAAGAATTGACAATTTTTTCTAACATTGACTTCTAGATGCTGGCTTTGCCATTGGTATGTAGCTGCGAAAGGTGGCTGGTTCATATAAACAAAACTGGAAAGATTTTGTATCAGATCTACAGACTGTATGTTTCAAAACTGGGATGTTCTGCTATTTGCTTGCCAGAGTTGCCACACATTTCAGAAGAAACCCAAATGTTAATCTATGAGCTAAAATTCTAAGAAATTCTGTGAATAAAAACCCATTTCTTTATTTAAAATAAAAACCAGTTATTAAAAATACTCAATTGAACCAGACCTGGTGAAGTACCACGCACGCTGTTTAAGTCACCAGCCAATATTTACTAGTGCTAGTTGTTTGTAACGGAGCACAAGCTTACGGCAGAAGCACTCTTGAGCCTCTTGCATTCCACATCATATACTTTCCCATCCTATTGCCTGACTAGTGACAGAAATCTAAAGAAAACTCAACAAGCAAACAAAGGTGCAGTTTCTGAAAGTGCCACATCCAATTATCTTAACAAAGTGTGCTCTATTAGGTTTATACAGAACTTAAAAACCACACCATTTATGAGAGTCTATTCCAATATTATGAGATCAGCGGGGAAGGGCTGGCTAATTTTAGCAGTTTTTATAAAGACCAACTTTGTCAGCTGAGAAGACCTGCAAGGAACTCCAGTTTAAGGCAAACATTGTGGTTACCAGACATGTTTGGAGGATTTGACTATTACTTGAAAACAGTATAGGGTGAAAATGAATAAGTACTGTGTTTCTGAAAGAATGTCTCAAAGAAATTGCTACTATCCACTGTAACCGGGTGTGGATATTTTCTAGCCAGGCATGAACAACCTTTTCCCTAGCTATTTTAGGTCAATCAAGTATAAATAGACAGTGTAAAACAAGCAGTGTCTTTAGATTGTCTCAAAGCTCTGGTGCACAAAGTGCTGTACAATTTTAATGGAAGTCTCTGGATGCTACTACAGGAATTCTCTATAATCAAATCTGAAAAATTGAAAATAACTTTAGGCTCTTTTAATTGTAAAAGAGAAGAGCAAGCCCTGGTGTTTGTAATAATTAAAAGCACAGCTACTTAAACCCTTCAGCTAGATGGCACAAATAGGGAAAATAATGAAATTTCAGTCACCAAGAGAAGACCTATCTCCATGGGATCAGATGGAAAGTACAGCTCAAGTATTTTATCAAGCTTCACAAATATGCATAACCAAAACATGCCAGAACAAGCATAACTTTTAATACCTTTAATATCTTTCTTGCCTGAACTGATAAAAGTGGTAATACATTTTAACAAGCCACTAGGCTTGCTGAAATCACTCATTTCAGCTATCTAATGTAACTCACACTGCTGCGTTGATACGCACTATCACTTCCAAGGGTACTCTCCACAACCAATGTTTTATTTATTAAGGTGTGATGTTAATTGCAATCAAAGTGCAATATGGGATGATAGGACAAATTTAGATCCTGACCTACCGCAAAAATGAGTATCTACAGACATCTACATCAGGGTTTTAGTTATATTACAGCTACTAAACTTCTACTGATACAGCTGTAAGCTTGTACAATTCTACACGCATTTGTGAAAGACACGATACAAAGGTAAAACATTTTACTACTGTATACAAATGTGTTTATTATGGTGCACTCTTTGACTATATATATATGCTTGTACATCACCTGTTTAGAAAACACTACAGATCTTGCCACATACTAAATGAAAATTTAAGAAAAAAATTACTAATATCTAAGCTCTAAGATTAATTCAATGAGAAACTCCCATTCAAACTCCAAAATCCAAGATATACAGGTACCCCAAATTACAAAGATATGGGGGGTTTGCACCTTTTTGTGTCACAGTAACTGAAAATTGGCATCAGCTTTATCCCAAGGACCTCAAGGAGGTAGACGCCGCCATCTTGCACCAATGCTAAGGTTTTTGGAGAGTAAAGTATCTGATAACACACAAATAAATTGCACTACTAAGTAAAAATATTAAGGGACTGTCCGTATTTTTAAAATTGCATTTACAAGTAAGACATACAAGCTGTAGCTAATTCACAGCTAGGCTGCAGAACATAAGAGTATCTTACATGGCATCAGCTGAGGTGACTAAGTTACAAATTAGTAAGTCAAGTAATTGAAATAAAGACACACTTCCCTTCCCCCTTTCAGCAGCAGGAGCATCTGGAAGAGCATGCATGTAGCTGGTAAGTCTCAGGCTCCCCGAGACTGGGCCACTCCATCCCAGTCAGCCACAAGGCTGGCTCTGCCTTTTGAAGTGCAAGGAAACTGTAAAGCTGTAGAATAGGTAGAGCAGACCTGCCAAACTAAAGTCTCTCATCTGTAAATGTGTACAATTAGAAAACCCTCCCAATTAACATCTCTTAGTTCATATTTTAGTCATGAACAACTTTTAATTACCCAATATGTTATCTTACCAGTGGAAAAGCTGAAACTGGTTATAAATAGGTGACAAGAACTATCTGCTTATTCAAAACTTACTTAAAATTGGCAAAAAAACCAAGAATAAGTTACAACAGAAAATGTTTTGTTACAGTTCAATTGAATGAACTGAGGCACACATGAAAACCCTGAAGCCAATGCATGGTCTCAGCTGCAGTTTCTTCAAAGAAAAAAAAAAAAAGAAAAAAAAACTATCAAATTTAAAGATTTAAACCAGATCTAGATTACTCAACTAAGAAATATCAGTAAGTGTTGCAGGCAACCTGAATGCCTTTCCACTGAGGGTTTGCTTTGGTGTAGTCAGGAAAATACCAAGTTGCTTTGATTTAAACAGTGCAAAACTCAAAAACATTTCTAATGCCATTCCTATTTCTGTTCCATAAGCATGATCTGAAAGAGAGCAGACTGGCTCAGCTGTTTTGTTTTCCTGTAAATGAAGACGAAAAGGGAAAAAGAAAAATTCTCTTAAATTTTGAAATACCTTCAATTTACTGTACATCTATGCTTTTTTTTAACCACTACCTTAAAAGGTATTTCTAGGAATATTTTCAGTTATCTTTATATATAAAATTAAGTATTCACCAACAAACCAATGGGACCACTTTGAATGGGATCTTCATACCAGTCATATCCATAGCAAACCACTATTAATCTCTGCAGCCTAGGATTTTGCTTTGTAAGAAACAAGGTGTCTTGATTTTCATCATTGAGCCTCAGTGTTCTTTAATTTGGCACAATTTTGAAGTCATTTGGTACACAACTGTACTTATTTCACTGTTTCCAAGAGATGTCTACAGAGAAATTAAATTGTGAATGAAGTACTACACAGCTAAATACTTAGGCTGACACTCAGAGTAATAGCTACTAAAAAGTTAAAAGCTATAGTAGTAAGTTAAAAAAACAAACACAGATACAACTCTTAAAATACCTGTTATTACTAAAATGAAAAGGCAGCATAAAAGATTCTTTGCACATTTAACAAAGCTAATACATTCTATGCCCTGAGGAACCTGAAGCTGAAAGATCTAGTATTAGTAACATAGGCTAAAGAAAAATTAAGAGTCAAGATACTACTTAAACAGTAGTTTTATTTATTTTGTTATTTATTAATCACAGAACTAAATGTACTCATTTATTTGTGGACATTTTTATTCATTAACTTGGGGAACAGCAAGCACTGGAATTACCTATCACGCTAGTCTGGGACGAAATCCAAACATTCTTGTGAATCTTTTTTTTAGGGTTTTTTTGTATTTTTTAAAATAGATGTTTCTTAAAGGAATGGGATAGTAACCAGAATTCCATAGACACCTCCCCAAGCTCTACACAGAGAAATTTTCCTTCCCCAAAGATATTAGAAGTGTGAAAAGTAAACAGGAGAACAGCATTAATCTCTCAGAATTTATCCCTTTAGAATAGAAATGGAAAGAACTCAAACAGTAGTGAGGAAAGTCCTGCGGCATTAACATGATCCTGTATTTGCCAGGAATTTTTAAAAATTAAAAAACCCTAACCAGAACTTGAAAGTTTTATAGCACTGATAGGAAAGCTATACTTACATATGTAAGAAAAGGGGTAAAAATTGAAACACTTGCTTAACAAGGCCAAAGACAAGCTGCTGTGACGCACAGGTACTTAGGCACATTTGCAATACCCTTTTTGCTTTCAGTACCAATGTTGCTGTAAATAATGAAGATTATTTTCTTTCCTTATTCAATTAATGACTTACAAAGCTCTTTCCACCCACCAGAAAAACCAAACCAACACAAACCCCCACCAAATCAAGGTTTATTTTCCCCATTTACAGCTGCTGAAATCACTGTTTAATTCTGAAATTTAACAAAACACTCTTCCAAGCAAAACCACTTCCAAGCAAGGACACTTTCAAAAATTTACCTTGACCTGCTTGTGTTTTAAAAGCCCCAAAGTACAAAGTTAAAATTATGGATACCCAGGGAGGATAATATTTAGGACTTGGCTTATCACAGAAAATAGACTGCAAGAAAGACTGATCACATCTGGATCTGCAGTACCATTTGTGCACTGCTTCAGGGGAACATTGCTACCTGAATTCAAAGCAGTCTTGAGAAGAATCAGCTTGTTCTTGGTTCTGTGCATGTTCCCACATACTATGATGCAGGAAAGTAAATTCTACTACATCAGAGCTCTATCACTTAATAACAAACAAAACAAAAATCCCACTGATTGCGCCCAGTAAAGAAAAGGAAAGATGGGACATCAGTGACAACCTGTATGTTCGTTTCAGTGTGAAGAACCCACAGAACACTGAGTAACTAAGTAAACAGCAAAGCCACCACAACTTTCTTATCTTGGTCAAAATGAGAATTTAGTATTTGGAGTACAGAAAATTAAATCACCCCACTTAGCATTAAAATATTATAAATTGAATACTTTTGGCAACTTAAAGAGGAAAAAAGCCAAATCTACAATGAACATTAGTAAATAAATTCTGCAAATAATTTTATAGTATCACTGAAAGATACAACACAAGTGTGACACAGGAACGTTTCTCAGAGATCTGTCTTTAGAAAAATGTCAAAAACGCCACTATACCTTAGAAGAACCAGAAATTGCCTGGGGATGGAGGGGAAAAAAGAAAAATCAAACAAAAAAAAACCCCAACCCCCAAAAGACAACAACCCCACCCCAAACCCAACCAAACAAACCCAAGCCAACCAAACAAAAAGAAAACCAACAAAAAAACCAAATGCAAGCAAGCAAAAAACCCCAGACATTTAAGATAGCTCTAACCACGGTTAACACTTTAGCTTTTATTAAATGGCGTATTTTTTGTTTTTGTTCTGTTTTTAAATCATCTAAAACTACATATGGACTGCAGATCATTTAAACAGTATTTAAGGTGATTAAACCTGGAGACCTTTGCAAGTTGAAGAGACTCAACATTCTGTATTTCTGTAGGTTTTCTTTTTTGTTTGTTTATTTTTTAAATTATGCCTTAGATAACATTTCACACAGTGGTTACATAACTGCTGATGTCATTTTTACTTTGTCTCTGGCCTACTATGCTGCATAATTACCAACATATCTCTACATGGTGCAGCGTTTCTTTCCATATCAGAGAAAGGTTTTTCGTTTCTATAGCTATGAAGGTTCCCCCCAACCATCCCCAGGAAGGCCACAAAATTGTGCTAGGGATTGTGGAGGGAGGAGAGAACACCAAGGTCCAAAACCAACAGCAATGGCAAGAGGAATCCTCTATCAACTCCGCTCATTCTCCAGCCATTACGTACAAACTTCAGCCTCAAAGAGCAAGCAACAAAAGGAGCAAAATAAAGTGAAAAGCTCCATTCAAAGAAAAGTAAAAACCTACTAAAAGCAAGTTCAAGTTGGCATGATAACTCTTTCTCAATTTTAGAATTCCTAGCTGTATTCAAAACAACTGGGTGCTAGCCAATCTTTGTTCCAACTGGAGCATTGGAATAGAAGGATAAAGGCTCTTTGGGAAGGACAGGCAGGGGAGACAAGGAGGGGGTGTCACCCTCTATGTCAGTGACCAGCTGGAGTGCATGGAGCTCCACCTGGGGATGGTCGAGGAACCAGAGAGCTTATGGGTCAGGATTAAAGGGAGGGCAAGGACAAGGTGACATTATAGTAGGGGTCTGCTACAGGCCACCTGACCAGGAAGACTGAGTGGATGAAGCCCTCTACAGACAGAGAGGACCAAGCCCTGGTCCTCATGGGGGACTTGAACCACCCCAGTATCTGTTGGAGGGACAACACAGCAGGTCTTAAGCAATCCAGGAGGTTCCTGAAATGCGTTTATGATAACTTCCTTCTCCAAGTGACAGAGGAGCCAACAAGGAGCGGTGCCGTGCGGGACCTTGTTCTCACCAATAAGGTGGGGAATGTGAAGCTCAAGGGAAGCCTTGGCTACAGTGACCATGAAATGGTGGAGTTCAAGATCCTTAGAGCAGCGAGAAGGGCGCACAGCAAGCTAACTACCGTGGACTTCAGGAGGGCAGGCTTTGGCCTCTTCAGGGATCCAGTTGGTAGAGTACCATGGGATAAAGCCCTGGAGGGAAGAGGGGCCCAAGAAAGCCAGTTAATATTCAAGAATCACCACCTCTAAGCTCAGGAGCGATGCATCCCAAAAAGGAGGAAGTCGGGCAAAAACACCAAGAGGCCTGCATGGATGAGTGTGGACCTCCTGGACAAGCTCAAGCACAAAAAGGAAGCCTACAAGAGTGGAAGCAAGGCCAGGCAGCCTGGGAGGAATACAGAGAAATTGTCTGAGCGATCAGGTTAGGAAAGCTAAAGCCCAGGCAGAATTAAATCTGGCCAGGGATGTCAAGGGCAACAAGAAAAAGCTTTTATAGGTACGTAAAAGGAAGACTAGGGAAAACACAGACTCTCTCTGGAAGGAAACAAGAGACCTGGTTACCCAGGATATGGAGAAGGCTGAGGTACTCAATGACTTTTTTGCCTCAGCCTTCACCAGCAAGTGCTCAAGCCACACCGCCCAAGTCGCAGAAGGCAAAGGCAGGGAGTGGGCAAATGAAGAACTGCCCACTGTAGAAGATCAGGTTCAAGACCATCTAAGGAACCTGAAGGTGCACAAGTCCATGGGACCTGATGAGATGCATCCATGGGTCCTGAGGAAACTGGGTGAAGTTCCCACTGACTGGAAAAGGAGAAATATAGCACCCATTTTTAAAAAGGGAAAAAAGGAAGTACCTAGGGAACTACCAGCCAGTCAGTCTCACCTCTGTGCCCAGCCAGATCATGGAGCAGATCCTCCTGGAAACTATGCTAAGGCACATGGAAACTAAGGAGGGGATTAGTGACAGCCAACATGGCTTCACTAAGGGCAAATTTTGCCCTTAGCTTGACAAATTTAGTGGCCTTCTACGACGGGGTTACAGCGTTAGTGGATAAGGGAAGAGCAACTGACATCATCTACCTGGACTTGTGCAGGACATTGTCAAATGCTTTGCACAACATCCTCATCTCTAAATTGGAGAGACATGTATTTGACAAATGGATCACTCAGTGGGTAAGTAATTGGCTGGATGATCACACTCAAAGAGTTGTGGTCAACAGCTGGATGTCCAAGTGGAAATCAGTGACAAACAGTGTTCCTCAGTATTGCAGCCAGCACTGTTCAACATCTTTGTCGATGACAATGGACAGCAGGGTTGAATGCACCCTCAGCAAGTTTGCCAACAACAGCAAGCTGTGTGGTGCAGTCAACATGCTGGAGGGAAGTGATGCCATCCAGAAGGACCTTGACAGTCTTGAGAGATGGGCCCATGCAAACCTCATGAAGTTCAACAAGGCTAAGTGCAAGGTCCTGCACACGGGTCGCGGCAATCCTAAGCACAAACACAGGCCAGCAGGAGAATGGATTCAGCACAGCCCTGAGGAGGACTTGGGGACGTTACTTTACGAGAAGCTCAACGTGACCTGGCAATGGGCACCTGCAGCCCAGAAGGCCAACCATATCCTGAGCTGCATCAAAAGAAGCGTAACCAGCAGGTCAAGGGAGGTGATTCTCCCCCTTCCACTCCACTCTTGTAAGACACCGCCTGGAGTACTATGTTCAGCTCTGGGGCCCTCAACATAAGAAGGACATGAACCTGTTGGAGCAAGGCCAGAGGAAGGCCACAAAGACGATCAAAGGGCTGGAGCACCTCTCATATGAAGACAGGCTGAGAAAGTTGGGGCTGTTCAGCCTGGAGAAGAAAAGGCTCTGAGGAGACCTTACTACAGCCTTCCAGTACTTGAAGGGGGACTAGAAGAAAGCTGGAGAGGAACTTTTTACAAGGGCATGTAGTGATAGGACAAGGGGTAGTGGCTTTAAACTGCAAGAGGGCAGATTTAGATTAGATACAAGGAAGAAATTTTTCACAATGAGAGTGGTGAGGCACAGGAACAGATTGACGAGAGAAGCTGTGGATGCCCCATCCCTGGAAGTGTTCAAGGCCAGGTTGGATGGGGCTTTGAGCAACCCAGTCTAATGGAAGGTGTCCCTGCCCATGGCAGGGGGGCTGGAATGACATGATTTTTAAGGTCGCTTCCAACACAAACCATTCTATGATTTCTATGAATGCTATACATTACCTTTAAATATGATCCGTAGTATTTTGTTACATAAGGACTATCACACTGACTTAAAACAGTTATCTCTTGCTGTATATCTTCTATTTCATCTTCTGCTTCCTCAAGGTCTATGATTTTTATAGCAACCACTTGCTGTGTCCGATTATCAATTCCTTTAAAGACTTCACCAAAGGAGCCTTTCCCAATGCGTTCCAGTTTTGTGAATAGTTCTTCTGGGTCTGCTCTATGGTTCTAGAAAAAAGAAGAGGAAAAAAAGAAAGATACATGAGTTACTTTACTTCCAAGTTATTAGCCCTCACTACTTCTCAAGAAGCACATCATCCAGATTTATCATCACTAGAACGTTCACATCAGATGAATTTATTTCCTGCGCACTAACTTCTAATTCAGCTATTAGTTACAGAACATACATTATGCAATTATGTCAAAGGTAAATGAGCCTCACCAGGAAGGGAATCAGGTACAAACCTCATTTTACTTCCCCATATAACAACCCATTAAAAGGAAAGAATAGAGCTGTTCTTAATATTAATCCTATCTGTGCAGTAATTCAGAAGATCGGGGAATGCAAATACTGGCACAGAAGCACTAACATCATCACCCAGGAAGAAAAGGCTGGGCTTTCTACCTGGCCAACAGCCTTGGGCAGACAAAGCATCCTATCTAGTAATACAGAGTGGAGCTGGTTGCGAGAGGATACTGGTATTATATATAGTATAGTGAATACTACCTGGTATTCACCGGCAGATTCCGAGATCTGGTAAGATCAGGTGTCTCCAGGGCAGCTAAAAGTGCTGACAGAAAGTAGAGCAAAAGGGACTGAGAGATGTTTGAAGAAGGAATAAGAAGACCGGAGCAGGGTACTGAAACTGGGGTACTGATCAGAACTGGCTGGTATCACCCAAGCATGCCTTAAAAAGGGGAACAGAGCACCGGGCAGCATAGCACTGCTGAGGACACCTGGCTTAGGGTCTCTGTTGATTCACTATTAAGTTCAGCAGACAGATTATTATACAAAGATTTTAAATTTCTCAGCTCCATTCAAGTAGTCACAAAGAAAACAAGAAGGAAGGAAATTCTCATTTTCCCTTCAAGAAAAAGCACCTACATGGCTGCTTAGAGAACCTTGTGTATACAAAAAACACAGCAGTGACTTCTGAAGGATACTGATGACTTGCTCCACAGTTTAAGAACACAAATCTTTAGCCCACAGTAAGAAAGTGTTTTTAGGAGGCAAGACAGATGTATTAACAGAACAGCCTACACTTTACAGAACAGAATATATTAGTCGTGTCAGAACTGGGCAACTCATTGCACAAATCAATCTTTGAACAAGAAACATCTGCCCAAAAAAGGCTTCTGATTAAATAGCAACATTTGAAAATATGAAAGATATTCTTTGCTTTAGATCTTTCTTGCACTCCAGAACTCAGAACTGGCAAAAAGAAGTGACAGTTTTGGCAAGAGCAGACATTCAACCCAAGGCACAGAAATACTCAAGTATCAACATGAAACTCCAGAAAACATCTTTACACTAGCAGTCTTGCAAATGGATGCAAAAATATTTACTGGGAGGAAAAAATACATTACTACTTTAACCAATGGACCAATTGTGCAAAATGGACAATCTCATTTCCTTACTGAGCCCGTATTGTCACTTCTTTCCTTCTACCAGAACCAGAATTTATTCTACAATATGGTGAGCTGAATCAGGAAACAGATTTAGCTAAGAGTTAACCATATGATATGTCAGGTTTATTTTCAGCGGAATTGGTTCACTGCTCGTATATACCAAGCTGTCACTTGTGCTATCACAAGAGGAGGGAACATGACATGCTAATCGGTGTAGACAGATTTTTAGATTTTGCAAATATGCAAGACACACTGCTGGTCCTGAGCAGCACATTAAAGCAAGAAGAATGAGGAATTTCCCCTTTGTCTACAATGAGCTCATTGCTACTCTGCTCCATTAAAAAAAAAAACACAACAACCAAAATACCCACTTTCAGAGAAATAATTAAGCAAAAAATTTTGTACTTTCTTCTGTTAATAGATCCCAAGAAAGACTTAGAAGATGAACAAATACATAATCAAAGTAATGAAAAAAGATAGGATGAGTACTATTCTGATCTAAAATCTGGGACAACTAATATTATTATACGTGGAATGAAAACGACTGAAGGCCTCAGGTGCTCATAAAGCTTTTAGCTAGACAACAAAGACCCAGTAAATCTTCAAAATGCCCAAAGATAGCCATATTGTCATATGCTACTGCATCAGCTCCTGCCATCTTTTCATGGTTAAGAGTAAAAAAAAAAAATCATATTTCTTTAAAAATAAAACAATCTTCTATTTTCAGATGCGTTTCAAAAAATTATTGCAGGGACAGGTGTGGCAAAAGCAGCAGCGACTGCCACCTGGCCTATCCCTGCTGCTAGTTAAGCTGCCAAAATGTCATTTCGCTAGCAACCTAACGTGTTCCTGAACTACAACATTAGTTGCAATAAGGAATAAGTAACTGATAGATATCCATTTACAATAAACAAAGACACAGACTCCCAAGAAACAAGAGTTAAGAGAGAGGATTGGCAAAACCTTTCATTAACCCTAAAATACTCATCTTCAGAAAAACTAGCTTCATTTTGAAACATACTTGGAGCCTGGGATTCCAGGAATCAGTCATGCTAACTAATAGCTATTGTTGATTTGAGATGAAACCTGTTAAAACACTTCCAGACAGATAAAAGAAAAGCAATTTAATCACAGACATAGTCAGCTAATCCAGCTATTCACAAATGTTTGATGAACTCAAAGGGCAATGCTTGCATTTTGCTTGGGGAAAAACTTTACGCAGAAAATTCCTCTGGGCTCTTCAGTGGAAGTGTACATTGCTCACTCCTATACACCCACCTAACCGTCATCAACGAAACAAGCCAGGCCTCCAAACTCTCTCCCCCAGGCTACTTCAGGTGAATCAGAGCTTTAAAGGCTTTTTTAACTTCCAAAAACTCCCAACACCATTATGTGGGAGTGCTGGAATACAGGGGGAACCATCGGCAGGACTGGACTTCCCGACACTGCAGAACTCCACGTACATCCCTGGGAGGGAGAGGTGGAACAGAGGGGCATCAGAGGAGAACAAACTGTGCAGGACTACTAGAGGAAAGAGTCACATCTTTCTATTCTGAGAAAATCCTCTCGCAGCAAGCAAAGTCAGCTTTACAGCTTCTGTTATTCACCAAGCCTGACAAGGGACTATAGGACACTCCAGGATAAGGGCAAATATTTCTGACCAGCTATAGCTAATATTGAGATAATGTCCTTGGAAAGGCTTCAAACTTAGAACACTACATAACTTACGTCCTTAGAACAAAGACTGCTTTTTGAAACAACTTTCCTTTTACCTTTCTTAATTTCTTTATCTTTTAGACTATTGTTCTACAGGAATGTTTTTCTACAATAAAAAAAAACACCCAAACTTTAAAAGACTACTTTTTTAAAAAAGAGTAAGCCTATCCTCCTTCTCCTGGTATAGAAAAGGATGGTAATACATTTTAAATAAAAGTGTGTATGTGTATATACACACTCCCAATATATACCAATAAAATTTTTTAAGCACAGCTGCCAGCTAAGCTTCTAATACAGTAAAAATTAAGATTTCTAACACTCCTGAGCAAAACAGCCAAATGTTATTCCCTGTTCTTTCACTGAATGGGAAAAAGGCTTAGGAATTTTGAAAGTTACCTGCATGAGTAATTGTTGGGTTTCTTTTTTAAATAAATACTGGTTTCTATGGGGAGTCATGTCTGTTGGGCAGCAGACGGTAACAATACAACAGACAGTATATGGGCTCCATCATCAACTCTTCAAAGATAACGCCTATGAGTGGACAAATCAGGAGAATTTGTTGCTTCTCCCCTCCCTAAGCCCATTTCTGCAGACAAAAGCAGCAACACATATGACAAGCACAGGCACATTCACATGCCAATTTCAATCTCGCCAGCATGAGTAACAGTACCAGCACAAGCGTGACAACACAAGCCCTCTGCATAGCTTAGGTAGTCCACCATTTCACCAGCCCGGCACAATTATGCAGCCTGCGCTAGTGCTCAGTAAAATATCTCCTCCTGTCTTAATACAACCATGTGCCATTACTGCGTATGTTTATACACATATGTATGCACGCATACAGAGTCACAGGATAATAGCATAATTCAGCTTGGAAGGGAGCTCAGGAGGTCATCTAGTCCAACCACCTGCTCAGAAGCCCCAAATAAAAAACACCAACGCATAACTTTTGCCAGTATACCTTCAGTAGCTGCATGGAGTATTCTGACAATACAGCTTATATAAGCATTTTCTTGTTGTTCTGATAAACACAGCTATGCAGGAATGTCCTGGCTGCATTCTGCTACAAGACAGACTGGCTGACTCACCTTCCCACCTGTGACCCTTTCATGTACCTGTTCTCCAAATTGCACATTCTTCCTTTGAAACAAAGTTAAGGCACACAGCATATCTACCTTCAAAGGTTATACAGGTATCTAATGACACACACCAAATTAGAAGAAACAATATCTATGTTAGACTGCCTCAGGATCTGTCAATGCAGGACTGTTTACAGAAACAGGTCTTCTAAGAAGGTTCATTAATGAATTTTGTTAAAGAATACAGAGTACAACTGGATGAAAAACCAAAGCTTCAAAGAATCTTGGACAGTGACTGAGCTAATGCCTTGTATCTAACAAAATCAAAACCAGGATTCTCTAGGTCTCCCAAAGCAAATAGTTTAACATAGTCTTGTGAGATTCTTCTGAGCAGTCTGTCAATGTGAGATTGAAATGTTCTCACAGAAACAGAAATGCCGTTATACTATCTGGATTTTCAAGCATCTCCCAGGCTTTACTTGGAACAGAACTTCCCTTAAAATTGTAGCAGTACTACAGAATAGCTCACCTGCACTGGGACACATTACTCAAATATGCATTAGATAAAGAAGCAATAACAGGCTCAAAAGATTTTATAAAAGGTTGGTAAGAGAAGACTACAATGGCTGTCTACTCGCATGTTTTTAAAGTGTATGCCACTATGGCACCCTAACACATACTAGTATCTTTGGAAGACATCAGAATTATCAGTGTGTTTAAAAGATCACCATTTCAAGCAATTGCTCACTAAAGTAAAAACCTGATCTTCACAACCAGGGAGCAGTCAAAGGTATGGAAAAGAGC